CAGTAACTAAGACGACAGCTTGTGTTTGTGTTCTTGCATCATATCTGCATAATCCATGTAGAGCGCAGTGATGCAATTACGTAAAAACTGACATTCTGCTTGGTGAGCTAATAGTTTTAAGAACGATATTTTTTGGACTTAATATTTCAATCTTTAGCATTAACTTTAAGATTTTCCAACCTTTAATAAATATTATTTCCGGCTTGTCGTTTTTACTAAATACTGATCTGAAATGTTTGCTCGTTCGAAAAATGTATTTTTATTTTTTAACAATTCCCTTGTTCTTTATTATTCAGGCAACTGTACGTGAAATACGGAAGGCGTATATATTTTGGGGGTATTGTACATATACAAAGTGGACTAAAAGTCGGTGTTGAAAATCAGTGCTTTTGAAATGGAAAACAACGACAAGTTTTGATATATACTTTGATTTCCATTTTAGCTCAGCCCAAGGAATGTAATTTGAACTACGCGAAAAAAAGCGTGAGTCGAATGCTATCCTAGATATGACTTAATAACAGTTAGCATGACTTGATTTGTTTCACATAGTTTTGGATCACATCTCTGTGTAGTTCAATATCCACTTCACCAATCACTTCACGGATACTATGCTTCAGATAGTGGATTGCTTTTGGGGATTTTTTTTGGTGTAGAAGCGGAATATTTTTATCCATCCGAGAGAAGAAAACTATTTCGAATTCCGATTTTAACCTCTCTTCGGTATGCGAGACTCAAAACGTTGGTCTGCTCTACTGCTTACTAAAGTTTTAGATATGCGCTTTTTGTACAAAGCTAGTGTATGATCATGTTCTTAAGATCAAATAAACCCTATCATTTTTCTATCCAAGCGTTGGGATATTATTAACACAATTTCCAAAGCTTGGCGGACACATCTGGATCTTAGTGCTGCAATATGTGAGCCCATTATGAGGCTTGTCGTACCAGGTTTGTATGCCCGTGATCAGTGACTTGCTGTAATTGTCCGAGATTTGCTGTGGTCGACCCTGTGCCCATTCGACTGTCACATCTGAAATATATACCTTCTTGGAATGGTCAGGTATAGTGCGTCACCTATGTAGCATGCGGTTCTTTCGTCGGCCAGTACGGTGCAAGGAAGCATTCTGGCCAGCATTAGGGCGGGATAGTGGAAACTATCCTATAGGTTCGAATTACTTTGATGATCACTGGTGTCTTGGCAGTCAGCTGGGGCCTTCTTTTTTAGAGCTCAGGGCCATGCTTGGCCATAGCAGGAAATGTATGGAGTAACTGACTGAGAACATTAAGGCCTGGAGTCCTCCGGTATCTTCTTGTGCTCCTTTCATTCTTGGCATTACACGTGTCAGATTCGTAGCTACGGTCATTACCGTATTAGCCACGTGTTTTTTTATGCAGTTCCTGTTAGACCTGTATCTATAATTACCCCTAGGTACCTGGCCTTCTTCTTCAGAGCTACTGTGCGTCCCCTTAAGCTTTTCCTCAAGCCTCGCCAATGCTTTCGATCAGTTAGGTAAGGTACACCATTTTTTCAGGAGCAGTCTAAGATGATGCTCGTTTGTGCATTCTTCCACTAGCGCGTCTTTCTTCAATAATGGCTTAGCTCTTCGCCGTATCAAATTTTGATAACCGCGTCATAGCCAATACCTCAAAAAGAGGATCGATTCCAGGGAACCCCAGAAATGACTCTTAGTCACACTGTCCGTATGACAAAAGTTTTATCATCTAAATAATGATGGGATTATTCTTTATAGGTAACGAGGGCAGTAGTTTTTCCAACGCACTCACATTCAGCTTCCAGCTCATGATGTTTAATGTGTTTTCCACAGCCAAAAACTAGGAGCGTATTTTTTGTATTTTTTCGGGACTTCCCTCTTCCACTCTGGGCTTCTTCAATAACCTTTTCAATCGTTTCGAGCATGAATTTTTCCTTGAAAACTGAGCTGAATCATTACGAGTTCCTTTTTCTTCAATTTCCTGTATGAGTCCCATTAATAACATCTCCATGATCATTGGTGTTGCATTTAGCAAACATATGGGCCTACAGGCTGATGGACCTATTTGTTTTCCTTGCTTAAGTGGAAAACACAGAGCTACTTCAATGATCTTGAAAAACCTGTTAGCCCTCTCTATCAATCTTTTTAGAAATCTGTTGAGTCCGTCTTTCTGAGACTGTCGGACGGAATACATTCGGCGTCGACTGAAAACACTTTTAATCATATAACTCCACAGGAAAAATTCGAAGAAGACAAATTATAAGATCAGAGCGGCCAGCTGATGTCAGCGCCACACACTGAAATCAGCCGGCCTGAAAGCATGATTCCAAGTAACCTAATTGTTTTCCGTGCAATGTAGCATACTACCTTCTCCTGTTAAGATTAAAGATTGTTTGCATCTAATTCCCACATTTCAGTCCCCAGAAAGGTTTGCAGTATCTGACGATACCCTCGCCATTGACTGTTGCTGGCGTTTTATCGTCACCTTCACTTCACAAGTTATACATCGTGGTGATTTAAAGAAGCGTGACCAGTTAGCGAATAAACGACACTTGTGATGGACCTAGATCTTAGATTGTTGACTTAATTGCACCTTGTAGAAATAAAGACGCAGCTGTTGCTTTTAATGAGTCGCAGATCGTGATATTATGTTGAGGTCATTGGATTGGCGTCCACACTGCTCGGTACGGCAGGCATGTCGTAATTTCTTCTTCTAGTTCATAGTCTCCTGGCCTCGCTTTGTTTACGAGTGAGCCAGTCTGTTCAAGTTTTTTTTTAATCGCTTTAGCCCTACTTATGCGAACAAAATGTACCCCGTATTCTATATAACACTTGCCGGGTATCACCGTGATCGACTTCGCATTTCAATCAATATACGAAAACCAAATGAAATTCCATGCTATAGAGGTTCTATCAGTGCAAATCACAAACACTGCTGCGTTTATCGGTCAACTATCTGCATGCTATCGTTTTCTACAATCACAGAGAGGAGGAAATTCTGTACTGACTTTCGGGCCACCTTCTGTTATGCTTTTGCGAATATATACAAGTCTGCGATTATATAAGCGTACAATGAGCTGCGCTACGTTTGCTTTTGCCAATCGATAAGCTAAGCGAGTCTATTCCAGAATAGAACGATGTAATAGAAGGCTGACCTGCACATAGTGAACACTGATGCACGAATTACGAGACACAAATGATCTCCTTTAGAGACATATATGAACATCAGTTTTCTGAGATATGATTTTGTGTAAAGTTAGGCAGTATTAGCGGTTATTATCGTTAGTATACTAGCGGTGAAAAATATATTGTGTTGATTGAAATTTAAATTAAATCGTCAAGGATTTTTTCGGAACTAGCTCTACATTTCTAAATAAAAATCTTGACATGGTGACAACTGGCTATTTACGCCATTTTTACGAATTATCGAGCTTTCTCAATCCGAAGCCTACCGTTGGTCTTCCGTTTTGTGTCATAGAAATCTTCTTCGAGTACTTTTGAAAGCTGCCATGGGAACTAGCAACAAGGTGTGGCGTCCATTTTGGGCTACTAATAATGTTTATAACCTTGGTGGAAGTTGGTCCGGCACGATGACACTGAGCATAAGCTGATCGTTGCTCAAATTCTGAACACAAACCTGCTACTTCCATTATAATAAGTTTATGATTTTGTTGTAAAAAGAACTGGCTTCATAAAAAAAATAGCGACAATTATTTTGAACAACATGTATATTGTAACAGAGTGGATAATAACAACCCGTGTAGATAAAGAAAGTTATCTTATAAATAAATACACATTTATGGCCATACAGACGTATGGTGAATGGCTCTGAAGTGCGCACTTCTATTGACCAACAACCAAGCCTGCTTATTTTGATGGGGATAATGGATGATATGGCCGGGTCGGGGAGGTGTTGTTCGGACGGCTGGATTATTGGGAATCGTTCCAGGCAAAATTCCACAGCTCATAGCCGAAGCGAGGAGTACCGGCGGCTCCCGAAGCTACACACGCGGCTACCAGACTAAACCACGAGGCTGACGTGCAGGCGTTCGCGGCTTGGTTCGATTTCGATAACAGCGCAAAAAAGCTGTAAAAATTTCGACCCATACTTTCTCGGGCAGTTAAAACTTTTTCTATTTGTCAGCAGAGTTATCCAAGCGTAGAGCAAACGTTCGTCGTTTGATAACATGTCATTTTTCGGACATAGAAATTTGGGCTAAAGCACGTACGTACGTATGGGGCGGCGACGTGTGCTAGCTTATGGTCAGAAACCACGCAAGTGCATCGCATTCTACACCGTCATCAACGAATCTGCCTTTGGGAGAAGGTGAGCATTTACCCCATTGGGCAAACAAACTCCCGTTGTCGCTATTACGACAACCGGATGTATTTCAAGACAACGGTTAGCCTGCTACAGCGGACACGTAGAGGGCACTCCGGGTCGCGTCGCAGGCCAGAAGTCAGCGACCCGTGAGTCGGCTTTGAAAACAATAAAATCCAACACGACGTGCGCACGAACAGCACACAAAAAGATCTAGATAGGACAACGTCAAACCCCCTGAGCGCTAGAGGATGCCCGCCGTAGGATAAGGATTTCTCGCTAAATAAACGGATCAAATTTCGCATATAACCCACGAAAGGAGTACGGGCTTTTATAAATATTTACGGATTCCATCGGATAGATAGGTAGATAACATTACATATCGTATTCTAAGTCGGGCTGTCTTCCGTAGGGGTAATTTAAAGTCTCAGTGAAAAACAGGACTAAGTATCTTCGCCTATATTATTTCGTATTTGTACGCAATGTGATGCGCCTATAATGGCCCTTTATTGGGAAGATTCGTGGGATGAGTTTTGTTGCTGGAGATTAAACCATTTACCTTAGCGTTGCTGAGCAACAATTGAGTATGTAATAAACTCCAATCGTAGCATACTAATATCCCCTTTTAAAATATGGATGCTATTTATATTATGTTAACGCGTACATATCTGCGCTTTCACGTATTTCAGTAACGATGCTAAGTGGCGTAACTGGACTTCGCCTGACACAGCTTGGAGTACCGTCTCTTGTTCGCTTCGGTGAACCGACATGGCTTAACTGTTCGTATGCACTCGATCGAGGCGAACGCCTTTATTCAATAAAATGGTATAAAGACAACGTTGAAATTTACTCACATATTCCAGGCGAAGTACCTGCAACCAAAGCATTCCAGCACCCTGGAGTTGATATCGATGTAAGTTACTTCCTCGTTTGACCAATTCTTTTTTGCAATCAAATTATTTCTATTGGATGTATTTCTCGGAAATATATTTTAACCTTTATTATATTAACCGACATCATTTAGCTTGTCCACTTTTTACTTATTACTCGATCTTATCACACTCTGATTATTACAACGATTGCTAAATTTATACCAATAAATATGCAGTAGTTTTATCCTCAGTAGTAGTACTCTCTTGAAAAGTAAAAAAAATATGTTCAGTTTAACGTTGCAGTGGTTTATTTAGTTATTATATTTTAATTAAATTTAAAAAATACCAGATTAGACCAGGACACGGGCACAAACACACACAAGAAATTTATCCGCTTCTTTTATAGCATCGACGGGTATTTTTACTATCCTGAATTGATAGACGTTTAACAAATTTACATTGAGTGCGTTCTGTTGTCTTTTTTCGCATTTCGTTCGCGGGCCGTTTTTCATGTGGACGAAGGTCTACATATAATCGCAACGACTTTTACTGCAAAATTAATCAATGGAACATCATAAACGAGCGTAGCAAACTAAATAGCTAGGGCTACGTCAAACTAGGTTCCGTCACCAAAAGGTGTCGTACACAAATGTGACCGTCACTCCAATGTCTGACAGAATTTCAAGTTGACACTAGTTTGCCCCACATGTACGACTCATTGAGAGGAAAGAATTAAGAACAAAACTAAGCATGTTATGTCCCGAATAATGGTCTGACATTGAATTCATCACCCCTTGAAGCTTTTTAGCTTCCTCAGTGCTAGCATGAGCTTACAACTTCAAATCATCTGCGGACAGTTATTGACTATTGTAAATTCCGTTTTCAAAACAGATCGGACATTTTTCTAGTCAACGCAGCCAAAAAAATTGCACTCTTAGTTCATCATCCAAGCAAATCGAACTAGGACCAGTTTTAATTTGTACAAACGACCCTGATAACTCTTTCTGTTAAAGGATTCAACAAATCGAAGTAAATGTGATGAAAGCCTAAGGGTTTCAGTTATAATCGGTATAAATAACATAATTGGGCTCAGTTTTTCCTCCATTGGCCGACTCTCGGTTAGGAGGTTCTTGAGTATTAAAATACTATTCATTGGTCACTAGTCATTTTTCGCACTTAGGTTTATATCTTGTATATCATTTGTGTGTAACCCTTTCAGGTTACTCTCTCGTTTTCACGTGTTTCGCCCCTCCCCACTTCAAAAGGATCGCGCGTCTACATAATTGTGACTTGCATGCAGATTATTCACTTTAGAAACTCTCTGTAAAGTGTTTTACGGGCATGCTCAGATTTAAGCACGCGGCTTTTGCAAAACTGTTTTGTATATTACCAGTCTCGCTACTGCTTTGTTAAGTAGGTTTCTTGAGGGTTTCCAAGTGGGAAGAGGCTATGTGATACGATAATTCGGTCGCGTTGCATGGATGTCAAAAAGAATTCAAGAAACTTGTAGTAACAAGGCTACTAATGCATCAGGATCGCTAGTACCATACCACATCTTCTCTAAACTGATAGCTCGCAGTGATAGGGAACGCAATAATTTCGAATGCCTTCGTAGCTCTTCTCAATGCATGAGGTTCATATATAGAAAATATTGTACGTATTAATCGATTCTCTAGATCCAATTCAGAAATAAAGACTTAATACTTCGGAGATAAAACTATCGTTTCAGGAATGCATTAGGTTTGTACATAAGAGAGCGCTGTTTTTAAATTAATAAGGATGTAGTGTTTTGCTTGAATTTTAGCAATAAATTAGGTTATTATGCATTTACCGTTACTCTTCATGACTTTCTCTCACATCTTAATCAATTTACTTACTCCTTTTCGCCAAAGTTTTCAAAATGTCTGCCAGTAGTCTATTGTTCGCAGGTGATCTTCTTGGCCAATGAAATATTTCTTGTTTGTGACACATAGATCTCAGCCGACCAAGGAGAGGTACACCCTTGACGGTTAAAATGCATTTTTTTTAGTTTAGCGAACTGCTTCTGACAGTCTTTTCAGTCATATCCTATGCTGTACATTGTACAAATATCCTAAGATACTTCGGCGACTGTTGACTTTATATATATATACATATATATAATGGAGAAAGACTGCTACATAGAAATAGCAAACAGTGGAGAGGTAAAGGAAAAAAAACATTAAGAAGGCCCTTACCAACCTAACTGCTTTTCAAGGAAAACGCGAGAATGAGCGCAGCATAGTTTATTCCACGTTCCACGTAGCCACGTCCCGTTTCCGCAGTTTATTTAGTTAGAGTGACTGCCCTTAAGCAGGTTTGTACATTGATATGGATATGAATATGAAAGAAGTGTATCCGTCAAATTTTCTCTAATTAAAGCACATTAAGCTATTCTAATAGACCTGCGTTATGCGTAGCTTTAAGCACAGAAGTAATACGACATGTCTTACCTATGCGTTCTTGTGATAAATATATATGTAGACATCATAGCTATAAAGTCAGATATCATGTTAAGTTCAAGTGAAGGTAAACACCATGCCTAATAAGCGAATATTTTACATTTGGAAAGCATAAGCTAGAAATGTTAGTTGTCCAAAACAAATATAAGGTTTTGCAACAAAGAGTCATAACTTGTATTGGAAAGCATAAGCAAATACTATAATCCGGCTCAAAATGTTTTGTACGAATAGCTAACTATGACAGAGCAGTTCTAGTCAACAGCTAAAATAATTTCGGAAGAAATATAGCTAGAAGATACCGAAAAGAAAGTTGGGTACCTTTATAATACCATAGAAATAACATTGCTTATGAATGATTCTGTGGATCACTAAGTTTGTATAAATAATTTTTTTAAATAACACTATATTTTGCGATGCCTACATTTGCCTTAGATTAAATTTAATTGGTGTAAAATATAGTGGAGTTTGTGATAGTTCACTGAATTTCTGTATGCTATAATTAAGCATACTAAAAACGCCTATCTTCTCAAAATAGTGTGAGGGTTCTTCTCGTTGGTTTTTTAAACTTTGGCTGTTCGCTTAGTTGTCTACATGAGTATGGGACAGTGATGACACACGATCGATGGGAAAATTAAGTTGGTTGGTTCGTTGATTGAGTATTGAGTATTGAACTCGGTCGGAAGAGAAGCGATAGGTGATGTTATTTACGCGCTGGTACTGACCTGGAGTTGGGTCTCTGACTGCCTAACTGGTCGGAGTCGAATGACAAGTGCGGCGATAAATGAAGTTCCTCCTGTCCCTTTCGACGGAGCAGCTAACACATCACCCGTTCTGCCGGCCGTAGCCCTTCTTGCTCTGAGTTCCCAATTCCAACGCTTGCAGCCCCTCCGGCCCTTGAACGGGTATCCCTTTCACGCTCCCTCTACCCCGCTTCGACGACATTTTGCATCCCCCTACCTCGCCCTACTTGCTTCGGTTAATATAGAAGCGACAACCGAAATGGTCGCGTTCGGTACATAATATGAGATGATACCTCAGGTTTCGTACGGACACAATACATACAAGAGCTTGTGTCATTATTCAGAGCACAGCCGTACGCGGTTATATGAATATATATATTTACAGAACACTTCTTCCGAATATTTGATTTCTTTTATATATGTATAAGTGAAATCTATATATATAATTTTTCTTTCGATAGCAACCGTGAATAAAGCAATCTATGCGGGTGTAGACCCGTTGAAGCACACAATCCCGCTAGACACAAAAAATACTGTGTGTTTGAATTTTACATTGACAGAAGCCAAAAGGTTCCTCAAATCCAAGGGTTTGAAACTCAACAACAATAAAAGTGCATAAAGACTCAAAAACCCAAAATGCTTGTTAAATAATTAAAACTTATTCAGACGACCCAATTAATTAGAGCTACTCGAAAAGGGCTGCTAGTTTCTAAATAAAAATGCCGGAATCATCAAAATTGGCTTATTACGCCATTATGATTTTTAGCTTTCTCAATATAATATTTACTGTGTGTCTTCCGCTTTGCCTTATATTTTCATGTGGATTTTCTGAAAACCACACCGGTACTAGCAATAATGAACACTGCAGATTTGGAAAAACTAGGTAAGTTCATAAGAACAAACCGAGTTATAATCTCGATAAGGGTTCGTAGCAGCGACTAGACCTTGGATAACAGCATATCTTCGCTCGTATTAAGAGTACAAATTTTACTCCTCAATTTGTGTTTCGAGTATTGTTCCAGGAACAAGTGTCGTTTTTATATATAGTACAAAAAATACCAGAAGAACGTACGTCCACTACGGCAAATGGCCTACTACATTTATTCTAATCTATACAAAATATATATAAGCTGTGCAATTCTATGAGAGTTACGCTAAAATTAGCGCAAAGGTAACTATTTGTACAGATTTGTTTTAGTTGCTTTCCTGTGAATACTGATCTTAAAACGTAAATACCTATTTTTTTTTTTAATTAGTTGAAGAGAAACAGCCCAAATGAATGTATCCCAGAATTTAGTTAAAATACTGTTAACCATTCAGCATTCTAAGTTCAGAAGTTTGACGTCTCCTTAGATATATTCTTCTGAATTGTTTCTATTCTTTTTTCCCTAAATAAACGGCACTGACTACATCTTTTTATATCTACAAAATAGCATATCTAAATTAGCTGTATAAAAGGTTACATTTAGAACCTTGAAAGTTTCGCAAAGTTGTACCACCTAAATGACTCACGCACACACAAGACGGACTTTCAAGGGACTATCGAATGACAACAAATATTAATACACATTATTTTTACTTATTACTATATAGTTATCGGTATTTAAGGATAGATGTTTCGATTTGATTCAATTCAGTGAAACTGGTTTTCGAAAATTCAGACAGCTACTGCAATTTTTTTATGTGAGTCCTGCTTCATTAAACATTATTTCTGAGATATAACGCGATACATTTCTGAGAAACTTAGCGTCTAGAAAGATTGCTGTCACATTTGCCAAAAAAAGCTCCGCTCAATTCTAAATAGTTGATAGTTAGGGAAAA